TTGTCGATATGAGAATAGCTACTTACTCCTCCTTGTTTTGGGACTCCATTTGAATGGAATATTTTTCCCATTCTTCACTTTTAGCCTGTGAATGTCTGTGCCTATGAGATGAGTCTCGTCAAATAGCATATAGTTGGATCTTATTTTTTAATACATTCTAACAATCTGTGCCTTTTAATTAGGGAGTTGAGAACATTTATATTGAGTGTTATTATGGATAGATGATTGTTACTTCCTGCCATTTTGGTTAGTTTGCTGTATTTAATTGTCTTGGTTTTCATTTAGTTAATGGTTCTCTAGTGAACTTCATATGTTTGGGAGCTGTGGGGTTTGTTTTGGGGTTCCTCTGTGTATCTTTAAGTACTCTTTGTAGTGTTGGCTCAGTGGTTATCACTTTTAGTTTATTTTTATCTGGAAAATTTTTATTTGTCCATCAATTCTGATAGATAACTTTCCAGATATAGCAATCTTGGCTACAGTTTTTCCTTTCAGAGCTTTTAGAGCTTATTCCAGACCCTTCTTGATTTTAGAGTTTGAGTTGAGAGTCAGAAGTAGGCCTCACTAGTTTTTCCTCTAAATGTGACCTGACATTTTTCTCTTTGAGCTTTTAATATTCTTCCCTTATTTTCTATGTTAGGCTTTTTAATTATGTTGTATCTTGGAGAAGTTCTGATTTGATCTTGTCTATTTGAGGAGTCCTATATATACCTCCTGTATGTAAATGTCTATCTCATTTTTAAGGTAGGGAAATTTTTCTGCTTCTATCACCCTGAAAAGTTTCATAATGCTTTTAGCCTGTATTTCCCCATTCTCTTCTATCATAATGACTCTCTGGTTTGATCTCTTGCTATTGTCTCAGAGTTCTTATATATTCTGATCATGGTCTTCCCCCACTACCCCCATTTATTGCATAGTTAGTATTCGGAGTAACATACACGGTCTTCAAGGCCTGAGTTCTGCCTTTGAGGTTTGGAGTTCTATTTTGTTTATGATCTCTACTGTTGATGATACTTCCAATTGAATTTTGAATTTGATTCATTATGCCTTACATTTCCAGGAGCTCTGATTTTTTTTCTTTTTAATATCTTTCTATTTCTTTTTTGAAATGGCCTTTCACCACCTGCATTTTCTCTCTAATTCATTCCTTAGATATTCTTTTGGTTCACTCATTGTTTTGGTCTTTCTCTGAAATTTCATCTACTTCCATATATATGAGTTTCTTTGTTGGTTTGTGAATTTTGTGGGGAGACTTGTTTGCCTGTTTCCTCATGTTTTCAGATTGGACTTGTACATAAGTTGCGTTTGATTCCTCTTTCTCTTTTATACATGTGTCCACCAATGTGTAGTTATCTTTTTTGGTCTAGGGACTTCTCTCTGGTTTTTGCTGTATGAGTAGATATCTAGAAGTGGACCTGAGGCCCCCCTCTAGTTGTTTTTACTTCAGGCACAGATATTGGTTTGGGGTTTTTCTTCCCTGTATTCTATGTGTTGAAGTATTGTTGAGGTTCAAGTAGGGCTAGTTTGTGTGTTCAGTGAGGATCAAGGTTACTGAATTGTGAGCTACTCATCAGGATCTCTACTCTGTACGCTTAAAGTATGCCTGTCATTTCACAGATCCTTAAAATAAATGTCCCGTGTCTACTTGGATATCTCTGCTACTTACAGAGGAATAGTGGGGTCAGCATTTAACATCAATGCTAATAGTAAACAACTATGACCTCAATCAGACATTAACCAGCAGGTGTCTACTGTGCCATCAACTGTATTAATAATCACAACATGTATTGGGTACAAATTACATAAACTATATACTTTTACCACATAATGGAATTATAGTTCCTTAAATGAAGACAAAATATGGTGGAAAGGCAAGAGAAAGTTTGAAGTATTTTAAAAGTGAACAAAGGAGAAGCAGGAGAAAGGAATCAGATGATGGCTATAAAGATAGGAGAATAAAAAAATAACTAAAAGTAATAGTGGAAGAAAAAAGGTACAGGAAAAGTTGGTTACTAATGGTATAAGAGAATGAAGGGGTAATAAGAGGAACATAAACTGAAGAATGTACAAAAAGAACAAAAGATCTAAAGAGAACAAACCCATGTAAAATTTTACCCCACCAGCTGGGTGCAACAGCACATGCCTGTAATCCCAGTGGCTTGAGAGGCTGAGGCGGAAGGATTGCAAGTTCAAAGCCAATCTCAGCAACTTATTGAGGCCTTAAGCAACTTAGCAAGACCCTGTCTCTAAATAAAATTAAAAATGGGCTAGCGATGTGGCTCAGTGGTTAAGCACCCCTCGGTTAAATCCCCACTACTAAAAACTAAAAACAAAACAGTGAATAAGAGAGCAATTAAAATGAATAAAAAATTATATGAACATTTATATTATATATTTTTGTACATATCCACATTAATGAGAACACTAACACCCCCACCCCACCCCCCACTTACACTCATACGTACATACACACAATAATGCAGAATGTAAAAAAGTAAAATATGTGTATACATGTATGTGAAATAAAAATAAAAATTAGAAAAGGAAAAATAATTTTTTATTTTTTATTTGTTTTAATTAGTTATACAGGACAGTAGAATGATAGGATGTGTCCTTTACGATTTTGGATAGAGTACTGTATGAATGTCAGTTAGATCAATTAATATGCTACTCATGTCCTTTATATGCTTACTGACTTTCTGCATTTGATTTATCACTATTCAGGTGGGTTGAAGTCTTTAATTGTAATGTAGATTGGTCATTTTCTCCTTTAATTTCTTTCAGTTTTTTCCTAATGCATTTCAACAGCCTTGTTAGATGCATACTGTTTTAGATTGCATCTTTTTCTAGTATGAATTTGAATCCATCTAATGAGCTCTTAACTTCAGATACTGTGTTTTTTAGCTCTGATATGCCCACTGTATGTGTGTATATATGTGTAAGAAGTCTCCAGGATCATCCTAGGTGGAGTGAGTCCCAAGAATGACTCAGCATATAGTCATTCTTAATGGCTGTAGTTTAGTACATATGAAAAGGATATAAGCATAATGAGCAAGATTCTAAGAGCTTTCTTCCAGTGGAGTCTTAAAGAACACACTTAAGTCCTCTAGCCATGACTCATGAAATACATACCAAGAAAGCCCAAAGATACTTGGCACCCAGAGTTTTGTTAGGCACTGGTTATATAGGTACTGTCTGTCTAGTATTGTTGCCAAAAGCTTGGTCCTTGTTCCCAATGCCAATCTTAATAATGAAGACATGGTTTTGAGAAAAAGGAAAAAGAAGGTTTATTGCTTTGCTAGCAAGGAGAAACACAGGAGACTCCTGTCCCAAAGGCTGTGATTCTGCCCATCAGCAGGAATAGGAGGATTTTAAAAGAGGTGATTCAAAGGCTACATTCCACATTTTATCTGTCTGGAACTGTAATTCACTTGTTAATTTGAAAGAGAGTCATTTCTGAGATCTTCTGGTACCATCCCCAAAGTCTGGATTACTTCATTCCTAAGGTGGATGTTTACTCAGGGACAGATAATTCTGCCTAGGATGGTAAAGAAAGATAATCCTATTTTCCCCTAAAATTAGGGAGAGGGAGAGATTAGGGAGGAGCTAGGGAAAAAGGAAGAGAAAGAAACATGTCCATTTTAAAAATAAGTTGTAGTGGCAGAGCAACAAGGGTTATATTCAGAGCAAAAAGTGGACCACTGTTGTAGCATGTCCCAAAATTCTAGACTCCCAGAAGGAAAGCACATATGCAGAATAAACAATATTGTTTACATAAGCAGTTCAGGCTCAGTGGGTTGTTCTTATCAGGGAATGATAATGAAAATTCTCTTGAAATTCAAGTTCCCAGAAATCCAACAAAGGGTGACCTTTCAAAGGACATCAGTCTCAGGCCTATGGTCTTAGCCCTTTTTCTATACAACATAAATTCATTTATCTGTTGAGCTTTTACCATCCTCACATTTATTTTGTTCATATTTTCCTCTTTTTTATTGGACAAATTCATCATAATTTATATTGAAAATCTTGTTTTTTAATTCCAGTATCTGGGTCACCCATGGATCTGCTTTTTTTGTTTTGTTTTGTTTGTTTTTCAGTGCCAGGGTATTGTGCATGTTAGGCAAGAGCTTTAACACTTAGCTATATTTGTAGCCCTTTTTAAATTTTTGAGACAGGATCTTGTTAATAGGTTGTCTGAGCTGACCTCAAGCTTGCCAGTCCCTTTGTGAGCCTCCCCTACATGGCTGGGATTACAGGCATATGCCACCACATCTGACTGGAGTGGCTGCTTGTATTCCCTTTTTTTCTTGGTCCCTGTTATTTCACATACCGCTAAATTTTTTTAACGAATATCAGATATTGTGTTATGAACAAATAAATTTGCTTCTTGGTCCCTGTTATTTCACATACCACTAAATTTTTTACTGAATATCAAATATTGTGTTATGAACAGAAAAGGATGAGCTCTGCTTGAAGAGATCATCTCCAGAAGATGATCTCTTCAAGCAGAGCTCATCCTTTTCTCTGGTGGGCAGTTAGACTGCAAGGCAGTCTTTTCAACTAATCATGGACTTCTCTTGGTCAGGGCCTGTGCCATATACATTGTAATCTCACTGTTTATTTTAACAACTGCAGATATTACTTCCTGATGAAAATTAGAATGGTAATGTTAAAGASAGTAGGAAAAAAATGTTCTCTATAACTCCAATCCACTTTGTATACACTGCCAGTTCCTGCAATATCCATCTTCTTAAGTGTTCACATGTACGTATCCTAATGAGGTCATAAGCACTTTGAGAACAGGAACCATGTTTTATGTTAGCATCAGTAATATTTATAGCAACTAGGACAGTTCTAAGTCCTTAGTGGAAACTCAATTTTTGCAAAATATATTATTCTATGTAGTAAAGCTTAAAAGGAGGCATTCTGTCATTTTTCAGTAAATTTTTTCTATACCATTTCATTCTGACTACTTCATATATAAAGGGGATATTCTCTTACAGGAGCAAGTGTCATTCAAGGATGTGTGTGTGGACTTTACCAAGGAAGAATGGAGTCTGTTGGACCCTGCTCAGAAGATACTATACAGAGATGTGATCCTGGAAAATTACAGTAACCTTGTCTCAGTTGGTGAGAATTTTTTGGTTTTAGTGTGGTTACCAATTGCATGTACTTCTTAGTTGCTGACAGTGAACAGTAAAAGCCCTGTGGTTTTCTGTTTTAAAGCTTGAGATTCATAATTTGCTATTTTAAAGTTTGAGATTCAATGCTATGAAGTGACTGATCTTTTTAGTCTTCTATGTAAAAAATGTATTCTTATCTCTCAGTGGTTGGTTCATCTGAGCACCTTCTCTAAGCACTTCTGAAGTTGTACCTTTCTTTCCCTTCATTTTTGCATTTATCCCCAAAGATAAGCTATTCAGTCCCAGCCCTGTGTTATTTTGTCTTAACAGGGTATTGCGTTACTAAGCCAGAAGTGATCTTCAAAATAGAGCAAGGAGAAGAGCCCTGGATATTAGAGAAGGAATTCCCAAGCCAGTGCCACTCAGGTGAGTTAGTGAATTCATAGGCAGATGAAGACCAGAGGAAGTTAATTTTAGGTCATTTGGTTTAGGGTTTGTACCCTTTGAAGGTCTTGTTTTTTAATTCCAGTATCTTTGGAATACTGGAATATTTTTTCTGAAATTTCCATTTTTAGCCTCAGACCTTTGGAAATGACCAGGGACTCCATTCTATTATCTTAATAATTCTTCTGTATGTCACTCCTACTCATAAATGCTTTTCTTTTTCTTCAACATTTTAGAATGATTTATTATACTCATAATCAAAAGCTAGTTGGCTTCACCTTAGTTTTTTTGTTGTTGTTAGTTTCTCTTTTACAATCATTCACCTCTCTGTTTTCTTAGGACACCTTTTGTTAGCTGGTATATATTCATGAACTACTTCCATATACCCATTTGACAAAAACATGATGATGAACACTCCCTGTGATCCAGTTATGTTTTAGGTAATACAGAATGATGTCCTGGTATCACAGACCTTGTATTACAATGAGGGACAAACAATATGTTGGTTGGTGGTAAGTTCTGTGAAGAGACTTCTSCCAGGGAACAGGAGACTAAAGCATATTTAGCAAGGAGATCAGAGAAATCTTTTTAATGAGGTCCATGTTAAACAGGAGACTTAATAAAGTCAGAGTACAAACTCTGTAGATTGATGGTATTCCAGGCAGAGAGAACATCAGGTGCTATATCTCTTAGGCAAGTGTGTTCTTGGACTATTTAGATAATGACAGTGGGTGGAAGCTGGTGGGTATGGAGGAGGCTAGTAGGAGGATTTTATAAATAGTAGTAGCATGTGAGATGTAGATATAATAATGTGATTTTGAGGGATGTGAAAAACCTTCAGTTTATCTTGAGTAAATGTCAATTAGATTAAATCATCAGATCTGATTTACAGTTTAAAAGGATGTCTGACTTCTGTGTGGTGACTGTACTGAGTGGGGTGATTGGTAGGCAGGCATGAGCAAGAGAAGAGATACTAGTTAGGAGGCTGTGCTGTACTCCAGAGGGGAGAGGGTGATGGCAAAAACCATGCTAGAGGTGCCGAGAATTGGTAGGTATCTTGAAGATGGGGCCACAAGTATTTGCTCTCAGAGTCAAAGAGAGAGGAGTCTAGCATGATTCCAATGATTCTCAAGCAACTACATAAATTAGGGAGTCATTTACTGATATAGAGAAAATTATGGAGGAGACATTATAGGGAAGTTATTATAGATTTAATTTTGGAAAAGAAAAGTTGGAGATAACTGTTAGAATCTGAGGTTGGATATGGCTAAGTGTGGTGCATGGTTGAGGTTGGAACTAGAGGTAGCCATTTAAAAGGCATCAACTTTAAATGCTGATAAGGCAGAGATACAATCTAGAACAGAGATTGACAGAATTGTTTTTTGTAAAAGACCAGATAATAAAAGTGTTAGGCCTAAAAAGCCACATGTCCTACTTACTGCTATTCTCTTCCTTCTTCCTGTTCCTCTTCTTTCTCTCTTCCTTTCTCCTTCCTTCCTTCTTTCTCCCACCTCTTTACTGCTTCTTCTTTTTCCCTTCAAAAACCTTAAAAGACCATTTCCTTGTGGTCATTGTTTGCCAGCAGCTTATCTTGAGCATGTAGGTGAGAGTAGTCCTAGTATAAGACTATTTTTTGAAGGTATTAAGTCCATTTATTCAAAGAGATTGAGAAGGAACAACCTGAGTTTCACAAAAACCACAGAGCCTGTTTGCCAGGAGTTAAATACAGTCTATTCTACCTTCTACTAGTACCTTAAATGGCAAACATGGGATCCCTACACTATTCCTTGTCATCTCTTACTGATCTTATCATACTTATGTTATTTTTCTTTCAAAACTACCTATATCTCTTCATATTCTAATTTTGCATTGATGACACTTGAAAGTAGAATAGTGTCTCTCAATGTTCTCATTTCTGACTTGGCCTATTTCATAATTTATTTATTCATTCATTCATTCTTTTTTTTTTTAACCTCAAGCATTTCAGTTTCTCTTTAACTAGCCTGACAAAGTAATCTATAGAAATAAATGAGATTATAGTCTCTTTTTATTGACTGTTATAATGTGGTTCTGTTTTACTTGTCTTACATTTCTTTCTTTCTTTCGATACTAAACCTTATACTATCCTATATCTTAAATTGTGTTTATAAATGTTCTCTCATTTATCTAAAAACTTTTTCGTGTTTACTTTGCTTTTTTTCAGATAATTAATATTATATGTGTAAAATGTTCACATCGTACATGGTAATGACTTCAGTCATTGTTACTATTTCACTTGTTTTAAGTCAGAACAATTTAATTTGCCATTAATAGACCATATTTTGTGACACTAATCCATCAGTGGTTGCGCCTCAAAACTCAAACCTGAGTTGCTTAGGGTTTCTTTCCCTACTGAGATTGTGTTCTCTCTAAAAGAAGGACTTTTCTTAATTCTGATATTTTGGTAATTAGTGTTGACTACCTGTAGAGCCAAGTTTAGGCTCTTCCTAAGTGCACTTTCCCTTCTTTTGTCTAATGTATTTTATTATTATTGGTTAGAGTTTGGAAATAATCCACATGCTCATTGTTTTCCTAAGAATCATTTCAGAGGAAGCAGGGAAAACAAGACTTGTATTACCTCCCAAGAGTTAGACCCTGGTCACAACAGAGGCTTAGCATTGAGCAGGGGATTTTTTATGTTACGGGGAATTATATGAACAGTAGCTTCTTTTAAAGAATAAAGCAGATAGAGTCTTAAAATGGTAGGAATGTTGTAGAGATTTTTTGCTTCATTCTTTTATTATTACTGTTGTTGTTTTAATGGAAAAAAAAATAGTGTTGCACCGAAGGATGTCTAGATTCCAAGGAGAGAACCGAGGCTAGATTGCTTCTAATTGCGTGAAAGATGTGTTATTAGGAATTAGCAATTTACAAGAATCTGATACATAGCTAGAATGCACAGAGATGTTTTTTGTGGACTTAAGGAATGTTGGTTTGAATAGTCAATGTGAATCAGCTGGTGTAAATTTTTGTTTGCTTACTTACTTTGTTTTGGTCAGGATAATAACATCTTTGTTTGTCTTTGGGACAGTGGACTTCATAGATATTTTTGTAACATGATTAACGTTGTTTCATTGATTAGCAACAGTGAAGTATATAGCCAAGAATTTTTATGATGAAGTATACTGAAGATTTTAGTCTCATATATAGGAATATGATTGTTATGGGCCCCACATGTAAATAAAAAACACACAAATGAAACTAAATATTAAACAAGTAAACCTAGAAAATCCTGGAAATAAAGGCAGACTCAACACCTAGATATAGAACATACACATGAATGTTAGTGAGAGTCCCTCTTCAATAATAAGTCTATGAGCAAACAGGGTATATACTTTTCTTGCCTTTGCCAAAACCTAATTCTCAGACATTCTTTTTATTGTGTGAATTTTCTGTTCTTTGAAATGAACAATCTCAGATAATCTCCATTTCTCTATTTATCATACCTCAAGTTTATTTCACTTCCTCTAACATGCATTTCCACAGCATTTTAGGGGGAAAAAATTTCCTTGTTGATAAAATTAAAGAAAACTTCTATCAGACCTGTGCTATCAGATCATTCTTTTCACCATGGGAAAGTTTGTGTTTATAGGACTTTAAGTTGGTGTGATGAATGGAATGGAAAAGAATGTACTCTAGTGGAAATAAATCTGTTCCAGTGATTGTTTGAGGGCTGAAGTTCCAGAGGTTGTCTGAGGGCTCTCTATTCTGTATCCAGCCAATGTAGTTTATCCTCTGAAACCCTTGCCTACTAATCTTTAGTGTCACTTTATTTCAGTGTTCAGTGTCTCTTTTGGGCTTACCTTATTGTTTTCAAGTTTCCCTATTTTTCAATTAGTCACTATAGTTCTCTGTCCTATGAATTTTATCTATCCTTTTTATATCCAGGTTGTTTGTTTGTTCCTTGTTTTTTATTTTTTTATTATGGTGCTGGGAATTGAACCCAGTGCCTCATATGTACCAGGCAAGCACTATACCACTGAGCCACATCCCCAGCCTTTCTAAGTCCAGTTTTGAAATTTGTATTTATAAAGTGTTAAATGTGTTTGCCAGTTTCCTCTCCCTGACTCCACAGCAACATGTTTGTATTTTCTACTCAAGTAAAGAGAGCAAAGGAAATATCTTAGTTCAAACCAAGAAAATGAGTCTAAAACTAAAGAATTGGCTATAGAATAGGGCATTTGTGTAAAAGTCTAAGTCCATCAGAAATGTATTAAAATTTGTAAGTTGTGGTTTTTTTTTTTTCATTTCTAGAAAGAAAATGGAAATTTGATGTCCTATTAGAGAACAGCCAGGAAAATCAAGATGAATACTTTTGGCAGTTCATGTTCACCAACAATAAAACACAAAGTGTAGAAAGTGGCAGTAAAGTTAGGAAAACTTGCAATGTGGACACAGACCCCATTTCTTCAAGAAATTTTCATTTCAAAATATGCGACTCATGTGAAATGAGTTTGAAAAATATTTCAGGTTTAATTACTAGTAAAAAGAGCTATTCTAGAAAGAAGCCTGATGAGTTTAATGTATGTGAAAAATTACTCCTCGATAGGCATGAGAAATTTTCTGTTGGAGAGAAATCTTATAAATGTGATCAAAAAAGGAATGTTCTCAGTCATCGCCAGGATCTTACTCAGCCAATTTTTAATCAGCCTTTTGAGTATAGTGAAAATGAACAAGGCTTTAATGAAGAAGCAACCTTTTTTATAAATCAGAGGTCTCAGATAGGGGAGACACTCTGTAAATACACTGAATGTAGAAGAAACTTCATTGATGGTTTAAAGCTTAACGTATCTCAGAGAACTCATTTGGAAATGGAGCCACATGAATGCAGTATCTGTGGGAAGTCCTTTTATATGGATTTACGATTTGGACATCAAAGAGTTCTTGCAGGAAACATTCCTTATGAATATAATGAGTATGGGGAAGTCTTCTGTGACAATTCAGCATTCATTATTCATCAGGGATACACACGAAAGATTCCTCAAGAATACAAAGTGAGTAACAAAACTTGGGAAAAGTCAACCCTCTTTAAACATCAGATAGTACATATGGGAGAAAAACCCTATGAGTACCTTGAAAATGGGAATAATTTCAGCAAAAAATCTCATATTACCCAGTCTCGGAGAGCTCATTCTGGAGAAAAAACCTTTGAATGTGGTGAATGTGGCAAAACTTTCTGGGAGAAGTCAAACCTCACTCAACATCAGAGAACACACACAGGAGAGAAGCCCTATGAATGTACTGAGTGTGGGAAAGCTTTTTGCCAGAAACCACATCTTACCAACCACCAGCGAACACATACAGGAGAAAAACCCTATGAATGTAAACAATGTGGGAAAACATTCTGTGTGAAGTCAAACCTCACTGAACATCAGAGAACACACACAGGGGAAAAGCCCTATGAATGTAGTGCATGTGGAAAATCCTTCTGCCACAGGTCAGCCCTAACTGTCCATCAGAGAACACACACAGGAGAGAAACCTTTTATATGTAATGAATGTGGAAAGTCCTTCTGTGTGAAGTCAAACCTCATTGTACATCAAAGAACTCACACTGGGGAGAAACCCTATAAATGTAATGAATGTGGGAAAACCTTCTGTGAAAAATCAGCTCTGACTAAACATCAGAGAACTCACACAGGGGAGAAGCCCTATGAGTGTACTGCATGTGGGAAGACCTTTAGTCAAAGATCAGTACTCACTAAACATCAGAGGATTCATACAAGAGTGAAAGCTCTTTCAACATCTTAAATGTTCAGAAGCTTTCAGACATCAGATTTGTTGTAAAATTTTTAAAATGAAATTAGAGAAAGCCAAAGAATGCCACAGAGTACTAGAAAAATGACATCTCATTTAAATATATGAAAGCTTCCAAGAAAAATTGAAACTTAACTAAAGAAATTTGTCATGAGGGAAAACCTATTCATTTAATCAATGTGGTAAAAATCTTTAGAATTTATGTTGTTTAATATGTCTTCCAGATGTGATACCAAATTTTTAAATAGAATTGGTAATATTCATTTTACTCATATTCACACTGGAATTTGAAGCTTAAAAATTGAATGGCGGTAACATTAAACATATATGTTAAGAGTCCCTGCTATTTGTAGATTTACATGAGTATGATAATGTAACTAATAAGGGGTATGCTTGATTTGCATATTAGAGCCCAACATGATTGTAAGGAGAAAATATGATCCCCTAGGTTAGTGAATTTTAAGGCATAAATATTTTCCACACTAAATACCACAGTGATTTTTATGTGTGAATGTGTGTTTGTATGTCTATATGTGTGTATATATATATGTGTGTGTGTGTGTGTGTGTGTGTGTATACATATGTAAATACATTTGTACATACACAACTACTCCACACATACAGTGATGTGTTAGTGTCACCTTGTACTGACTTAAAAGTGCTGCTGATTATTAAATTTTCAGGAATTTTGTAAGTCATTTGTTAAACACAGTCATTACTTAGAATTATTGTAAACTTAAACTAAAACTAAAAGCAAAGGTAACCCAAATATTCATCACTCACAACTTTCTAATAATCTTGCTGCATTTCACTGTTCTTTTTGTTATTTAGGTTATTTACATTATTGGATCCATATGGTGAGAATACTGTGTAATGGTTTGCTCCTATACACCTCTTCCCAATTCCACATTCAGTGCCATCATGTTGGTAACTTGGCCTTATTCATATTTAAACCATGGAAATTGGCAAACTCTACATAGCAGGGTGTTCATTTTCTCAGAGAAATTGTTGTCCAGTGTTTACCAGCACACCTCTATATATGAAAACATATTTGGCTGATTTAAAGTACAAACCACATACCCTTTTTCCTATTTCCTGAAACAAATAAATGGCTGTGCCATTATTACTGAACTGCCTCATCAGTTAAAAAAAGCCAAAAGATGTTTTGTGAGGTTTTTAACTACCTCTGAACAAGTCTGATTCTAAATACTACCAGAGACTCTTTATAGCTTGGCCAGTATATGTTAGAAGTGAAATATTATTTCACAAAGAAGCATTCTACCTACTTTTGACTGGTTCCTGGCATATATAAATGAGTATGGTTATTATTATGAAGCTATCCCTTCAATGAAGAAGTCAAAACAATATTTTTCTGAGGTTTCTGAGCTACCTCCCAATCAGTCATGTAAATTCTGTTAATAAAAATGGTATTTACACAAATTAAAGGTTAACATCACTTGTAAATGGTAATACTCAATGCACTCTAGAAATAAAAACTGGTGGTATGAAATGGAATGCCATTTTCATACTCTTGGTATTTCATTGTGGATCTCTTTAGGCATGATGTATGTAACCCTAGTTCTATGTAATCCAGAAACTATGTACTTGTATTTAGTGTTAATGTCATATAGTGTCTGCCTCCTTTGTTCCTTTGTTCTCTATGCTTCTTAGGACCACATTGATTAATAATTCTATGACTACTTATTTCTTCCTTGCTGAGCTGAGTTTTTATTGCCTAGATGATTTAGGGGATAAATCCAGATTAGTTGGAATTAATCACAGAAATTCCATTCAGGTAATTTTGTTGGATGAATAGGTGAGCAAGGAGATGTTTAGAGAATAGTCTGTAGTATTTTGGGGAAAAGTCTCAGTGATAAAACATTGACATGACATGAGAAGATATGAGAGACATGAGAAGAGATTGTCCCTCTTCTTCTAGACTTTTTCATGTCTGTACATGATACCAGCTTATAGTTTATGGCCCTGAAGGGCAGTAGCCTGAAGATAACAGAGCACATGTGGGAAAAGCTGGCCCAGAACTGAGATGCTCAACTCTTTCTGCAACTGCTCTCTTCTGAAACTTTATATTACATGAAGTAATACAGTTTCTTGTTTATTTGTAGGACTGTCTGATATTTAAAGGTAAAGGCATTTTAGTTGATAAAAAGGAACACTTTTCTAAGTGTTACAAGTTCTGCACCATGATTTGGGGGAAGAATTATTTCTAATATGGGGATGGATGTTTGTATAAGCCAGGTTTTTTTTTTTCTGATGGAAAACAGAATTTTCTATCTAAAGACATTTTAGTGGTAGATTTTTTACAATAATATGAAACAAGTGATGTTAAAACATACACTTAGAACCATCACCTGCATGAAGCCATTCCTATTCTGAGTCTTCAGGGAACAAGGTTGGAGTCCATTTGAGAGCTCCTGTCATGGAGGATATATTGTCACTACCAGAATTGTGGCACCAAATTGTTAGTACCTTCCTTTGAAGAACTCAACTTAGATACATTTGCTGGTGTGAGCCCAGGTGGGCACAGAGAATGATGGAGAGTTTGGGTGGAGAAAATGTGGAATAAGCACAGTGGTTTGTTATTTTTCATTTCTGTAAATTCCTATGTAAAGGCTCAGTATTAGAAATAAAGTTATTATATTAGTTGAAAGGTAAGTTTCCACTTTGTTGTGATTTTTCATATCAGCATAAGTAAATTTATTTTGGAACTGAGCCCTATAGCAGGTACATCTGCCTTTTGACATGTATGAAGCAGATGTTAAGTTAAATTGCATTGTTCATATATCTCTCTATGGTGTTAAATGTGGTATGAGGGAAGTAGTTCTATAGTCTTCTAAAAAAACAGCTAGGTGTCCCTATTCTCTTCACCTTTTTTATTGATTTGATATGGTACTGGTGTTACCATTTACTTAGATATAAATTATCTCTCTTGCTTTTGTCTGCTATATAACTTTTAAACAATTTTGTAGTAGTAGTCACATAGTTTTTTTTACCATAGATGGTACTCTCTTCCTGACCTGCATTTGTATTGATCCCAAAATGAACATTTGTTCCAAAATAAGGTAGTGAGAATCCATCCTAGAGTACTTAACATTGCCAGGTCAACATGGACCAGACAATTTGTATACTTGTTAGCGTCAGCAATCATATCAAGAAAAAGGAAAAGACCTCACTGAGAAGGCTACATTAAAGGAGGAGCCAAATGGATAACTGGAAGAGTGTGAGTGTGTGTGTGTGTGTGAGAGAGAGAGAGAGACATAAGCATGTATAATCAATAATTTTACATAAATTTTCTTTTTCATTAAACACTCTATTTACCTATTTATATATTTTTGATACTTCCTTTTGGGTTGTAGTACATTCTGTTAAAAGAAATACTTGTGCCCATATACTAAACTGATTTCACAACCAACAAATAGATCATCCCCAGTTCAGTAGTGTGTGAAACCAAGATGTGAATTGGTGGGTCATTGATTTGCGCTAAGATGAGTAAGTAAATCACACTCTGCTTGGAAACGCCCAAGAGTCTATTTTTGGAAGTGGGCCTATTTTCTGTCTTGATTGTCCTCCCCTTGTCTGGTGTTCTGCAGCACTTCACCCAACTTGGCCTTGACAGGTAGTGCCATTACCTATAGGAGGGTTCAACCCAGAGGGGTCCTTGCTGCCCTCAGCCACTACCCCTGCTTATTGCTTTCAATTGGAGACTGCAGGTGTGACTGCCCTGCACCTCCAATTCTTTTATTTCCTCTGACTCTTCATCTACCACTTAGTGCCTGGCCACTGTATATCCCAACCCCATTCCTTTATCTGTGGAATGCCTCCTCCATTTCCTTTTTCTGGCCTGCTCTATATTAGAGAAGAATCCATGTGCTGCCGAGAAGTCTATTCAGTCATATATATTCTATGTATGTGCATTCAAACTGGCACAACACCTGGGTTCCGGGGTCTCTAGTTTGACAATTCAACCTATAGATCTCCGAACTTGTCATCCTCCATAATCATGTAAGCCTTTTCCTTACAATGAATTTATTTATAAATATATAAAAATTTATGTTTATAGCAAAAAAACAAATTTTATTATAAATATAACATATACAAATATATTGTGAATTTTGTGGATAATATATAAAATATATAATTTATAAACTTGTGATCCGATGTATATACATAAAATAACTATATATGAATTTACATATATTTATACACATATACATTTATATACCAATACATACATATATACATGCACATGCATTTATTCTTTGGAAAACCTTGACTAACAGTGTCACTATTATTACATACTAAATTCTCATTATTTAACATAAAATTTATATCTGCTCTTATTCAGCAAAAGAACTGAATCTTTGAAAATATAAAACCATGTTGAAAATTTGTTTGGAATGCTGTGCCATAATATGCTTCATCTTTTTTATGATATGTGGTTTGTATCTCTCATCATTCACATAAACATCCATTCTGTAAATTTCTATATTCCTTCACACAGACTCTGCCCATTTATTTCTAGATATTTTTTCTTTGAACTTGTAAACATCTTGGCTATATTATGAATATAATAGAGGCATTTTGTAATAACATATATTTACCAATAAAGATCTTCACTCTATGCTGTTTAGTGAAGATTGTTAAAACACTATCTAGACTTCATCCTTTCAAGACGTGGTTCTATGCAGAGAATTGGGAGTTTGTGCACTTTGGGGTTGGCATTGTTATTTCTGTGGAATCTGGTAATTGTAAAAATGTCAGATGTTGCACTTAAAATTCATTGAATGAGTCCAATATACTACTTTATTTTTGGATAGTATTGTTTTGTTGTATCCCTGCCCCCTGCCCCCGCCACCCAGGTACACTTAACCACTGAGCTACGTCGCCAGTCCTTTTTATTTTTGTTTTATGGTCTCACTGAGTTGCTTAGGGCCTCACAAAATTACTGAGGCTGACTTTGAATTTGTGATATTCCTATCTCAACCTACCAAGTTGCTAGGATAAGAAGCATGCACCACCATACCCTACTTGGACTGTGTTTTGATATTTTTTTTTCCATTTTAGTTTAATACTTATATAATTTTTTCAAGTTAGTATTTTATATCCTGGGAAATCTTGAAATAGATATGATACTTTTTTCTTTTTATTGACATAATAAACATTTGTGGGGCACAATGTGATAACATGTATATACATTATATAATTATATAATTATCAATTCAAGATAATTAGCATTTCCCTCTCATTTCTTCTAGTTCTTCATAGAATATATAATTTGTTGTTTTTAACTTTAGTCACCCAGATGTGCTTTAGAACATTAAAACTTACTCCTCCTATCATATTTAGATATTCATTATCCAACCTCCTCCTATTCTCTTTCCTTTCTACCCTCTAGTAATCAGTATTCTTCTTTGTGATCAACACTTTTAGCTTCCACATGAGTGAAAACTTGTGTTCAACTTATTTAACATTTTTTTTAAATATAATGAAAGAAAAGAACAAACTAAGCAAGTCTCCATGGAAGAGGGGAATCTGATATCTGGAGATACCACAGTATAACTTTCAAACATCCATTTTTTAACAAAAAAAAATCACAAGATCTACAAAAAAAAAAAAAAGTGAAGTGTGACCCATTCGAAGGAAAAAATACATAAAAGGAAGATACCTTAGACCAGAGGTGGACTACTTATAACAAGGCTCTAAAATGCTGTTTTAAAGATGCTCAAATAACTGAAAGCTGATGTGGACAAAGTAAAGAAAACAATGCAATAAAAAATATAAAAGATGTAGAAAAAAATTCTGAAGTAGAAAAGTACAGTAATGAGTATATTTGATAGAGGAATCCAGAAACATATTTGAGCAGGCGGAAAAATCAGTGAACTTGAATATAGGACCATTGACATCAAATCTGAGGCACAGAGAAAAAAATCAAGGAAAAGTGAAGAAGATCTAAGAGACCCTTTGGACATCATTAAGTGAACCAACATAGCCTGAGAAAGGATTCAGAAAAGGAAGAATGGCTGAAAAGTTTCTAAATTTGATAAAATATATGAATCTAAATATGAAAGAAGCTCAATAAACTCCAAGTATGATAAAATCTAAGGCAGTCACATTGAG